CCACGACAAAATCCGCCGCGCACACACAACACCCCATCCGCCGCCAACTCCCCCAACTCGCCAACGCTCTCGCGCCTCGCCAACTCCCCCCACGGGCTCAAATCGACGACGCACAGCTCCCACGAATCAGGGAGCACCCACCCCGTGAGTCCCAGCGCGCTGGGGGCAAAAAATATTTGCGCCGATTTCGCTCATTTCCTTGTGTTTTCCACCCGCAGATGCGCCGAAACGGGCATTCCCGCACACGTCCGCGCCCTGCCGCCGCGCCATTTGGCGTGGGCGTGCCCCGGGACGGCCGGCATCGTCCCCCGCCGTTTCCCGGACTGTTCGATGGGGGGGAAGGTGTGTAGCGGACGTCGGGACGGCTGCCCGCTCTCGGCGTGTGCGTCTTGCCGCCTCGTGCGACGCCGCCGTTTCCGACATGCGCCGCTGGTTTCGACCCCAGGCCACACATTCCGCGACGACCCACCGTTCCCGCAAGTGACGACTCGGAGGCAACCCCCAGACGAACTCGACATGTTCGTCCGACTCGGTCGCATATCGCGCGGCAGACGAGAACACGGCATGGACGACACACTATCGGCCCGCTCGCACGCGCAAGCAGCCCCGCGCTACGTCCGGGTTCCTCGCGATCGTGCGTCATATGTGCTCCGAGTGTTCGAGGCTCTGGACACGCCGCTGACTCGTGATTCCCTCGCAGGACGGCCAAGACGCGCACACACAACGCCGTGCGTCTTCGCGACGCGGTTCGCTCACAGGACGGTCGAGATGCACACGAATTGTGCTCGTTTTCGACGCGATCGAGCAAGGGGCTCGCCTCGGATACGCATGCGACCCCGGCCGTCGACAGCGGATGCGGAGAAGCCGCTTCGTGCAGCGCCGCCGCTTGCAACATTGCTCTGCCCGCCCAGGGTCTCGTATCGAGTGTGATCACGCGAATCAGCACGTACAAGGGCCGCGAGCGGCTGGGCATCCGCCGGCGGATAGCAGTGCTCAGGACGGCCACTCTCGTACGCTACAACATCGCTTGGGGGACGAACACTCTCAGAGTATCGGCCTCGGTCCGCGCGCATAAGGGGCCGCATTTGGGTCCAGGACGCTACGTCCGGGACGCGTACGAGCCGGAGATCACGGTACGCACTCCAGCTACATCCTGCGAGCAGGGGCTCGCCGTTCACCCGCTATGCGCTCATAGGACGGCCCTCAAACACGCGCGCGAAGTTGGCCCTTGAGGTTCCCGACGCGGTCCGCCGCGCCCCCGCTTCGCTCAACCGACATCTGCTGGCGCTCAGGACGGCTGGGCGCGACCCTGGTCGACAAGAATGGGCGCGGAACGCGTGGTATCGTCGCCAACTTAGATGGTGCGACACGGCGCCGGCGCAGGAGCTCGATATCGTACGCACTCGGCGCGGACGCCTCGCGAGCACCGACGTGCTCGGATTCGAAGCACATCCGGTACGCGAGCAGCCACACACGGCGCCGTACGACATACGTCTGCGGCGGCGGCGCCGTTTCCCGATCTGTACGACACCCTCTGCATTGCCAATGACATAGCACGGTACGAATTGCGCGTGAGCTGCCCATTTTTGTATGTTCGCCGGTCGTTTCGAGCACCTACCGCTCATCGCTCACAATGTCCCACTCTTCGGGATAGCACTAGCCTGAGCTTCGCGCAGACGGCAAAACGAGACCGAGCCGTGCTCGGAATCCCGCGGTAACCCCTCAGGACCCCAACAGTTCTTCGACACACTTCCTCAAGCGTTTGCCGAGACGGTGGCGGGACAAGACTGCTGTGGACATCAATGGACCCGCATCGCCCAACGGCTCGATCTGCACGCGGAGGGAAGATGGCCCCCAACTTGGCAGGGACCGTGTCCGAGCACCGAACGCGTCCTGCACGCGCGACGCCGCGAAACCGACTCGTGAACGTCTCAGAATACGGTGAGTGGTCGCTTGGAACGTGGACAATCACGCTGTCTTGCTGACGGTTCGTCCTAGTCGCGCGGCGGCCGTCATATCAGGACGCGATGCGAGGGCGGGGACGACTCGACCGATCGCTTTTCTCGCCCCCCGGATCGCTTTGCAGCCGCGCGAACTGCGCGAACGAGTGCTTCCCGGTGGAGCGTGACGCGTCTCCCCTTCGGGAAGCTTACGAAGATGTTGAGCCTCGGTTGCGGCGATTTGGGCGAGGCGCGGTGTTCCGGTGGTCAGGCCTGCGCGCGAACGTGGAGAACGGTGAGTGGTGCGGAGGCAGATGTGGGGCAGAAAGCGAAACAATCACCCCATGCGACAGGGCGCAGAAGGTACGCGGCGGAGCGCTCGATTAGCATAGACGTGCGCGCGAGGGCTCGAGACTAACCTCTTGCGGCGGGCGGTCTAAGCGAAGAAACAGGCCAAACATGTATGCCCCGCCTCGCATCTGTTTCTTATGTCCGCGGCGACGACAACGAACATGGAGCAGTACAATGCAGTCACAACGATGTCCATGAGTATCTACTTGCATACGCAGTCCTCGCGCTGTAGATTTCGGGACATTCGAAACTCACATTTACAGACCCCATCGTGTTCTTGTGGCACCGAGTCGAGCACAAGACCGCGTACGATGGCGGCACGCGATTGCGCAGACCTCGCCTAAGCCATGTGAGGCGAGCGGCTGGAATACGCAGTATGATACGACTCTAGAGAGGTGTCCGAAGGTCCTGCGGGGTGGTGAGTTATTTCTGGACCCATTTATTCTCTTTGTACCTGAATGCTCACGCAACCGCGACCGGCAGCTGGTTTGGAACATAGATCTGGACTGTGAACATGCAGGCGAGCCCGCGCCCTTCAACAGAGCACATTTGGTGCAGCGGGACTTGGGCTACTGGCTGCCCAGCATGTATCAATAGCATGAAGCAATATATTTATATTACTCTCCTGACGATGCTGGCCGGACTGACCGATCCGGAGCAATACTCGACGCCAAGCTTCGTGGACTCCAGGTACCTTGACAGGAGGGTTTGAGGTCGCGATGATTTGCGGATAAGTCGGCTCGTATCCTCGCGAGACACGCCCTATGATGAGGTCGCGATGATTTGCGGATAAGTCGGCTCGTATCCTCGCGAGACACGCCCTATGATGTGCGCGCACGGAGAGTCTTTGATAGAGCGCACGCGGGCGGCATCAGTATGTATGGTCTGCGAAATGTTATACCGATATTTCCGCATCTCTGAAATCGAGGCGTGTACAACACGCAGACGAAGCTGTGGACGAGTACGCTACACTACGCCAAGATCCGCCTAGTTTGGGCGACACTGAGCGTTCCGGCGCGGGCGCCGCTCAGGCGTGGCTAAAGCGACGGCGGCATTGCTATCTGCGAAACCAGCCTCTCTTGAATGCGGTATTCCCATAACGGCGCGCACATCCAGCCTCGCTACCAAATGGCGATTTCGAGCGCACTCCGGAAACGATATCCCCCGGCTCAATAACGGTGTCGGAGAAGGCTTCGCCCGCCGCTAATTAAAGATCACGATCGCGTCAATACGGAGTTCGACTGGTGCATGCTGAAGACGCGAGGTCTCGCCCACGCGGCAGCTCTCACATTGTACCTGCCTCAATAAATATGTTTTAACACCTGTTAGTATGTGAGAGGTGCGCACTATGCAGGCGCGCCGCGACAGGCAGCGGCACGTTGCACGGGCTTTGTGATTGCCACAGTGAGCAGGATCGTACCGCTCATGTCTCCGTGCATATTCTGTTACCTGTCCGAATGAGATCTCGATAAGTATGCGATGACGAGACGATGGGCCGCATACTTACCTAACCATTTGGTGTGGAGTTTGGAGCCTCGTCACCGCACGGGCCGTCGCATCCCACGTCGGTGTGTCCCGATGCGGTTGGATGTCGGATCGGCCCACACGGAGACAGCTTCGTTCGAACGGGTTCACGGTGCCGATTTGTAACGGAGAACATGTCTTGATATCACGCGTTGACAAGGGCTGCAGCGCTCGAAGACTTCCCTCGAACACAAGACTGATTCGCGCAGGCTTGCGGCGCCCAGCCATTTTGCAATGTGCCGTGAACGGAGAGTGATATCAAACCTGTTCATGCGCGAGACCTGACACCGCGGCTATTTGTCGTTCGCACGTAGCTGGGCCCCGCGCGCTGCTATTGGCCATCCGTGAGAGCTCCGAGTTGAGCTGTGACTAGTCGTTAGAGATACGCTGCGCGAACCTTGCGAGAAGCGCGCCCACTCTAGCCGTGCGCATACCTTCTGGATGATACTACAGCCGCCTCCGAAGCGGGCACTGCAACGCTGTACAGCTGCCCCAGTTGGCAGGCGCAAGACGCGGCATTGGGGCGGCTCGTGATGACCTACCATAACCGTCAATGAATAATACGACCATGCTTCTCTGAGCGAAGCTGCACTCACCGAAGCTTGGCACAATCCGAGCACGCATGGCACGTTGTCATGCATGCTATGCTGGATGGCATGGACACCAAGAGCCGGTACCCCCCCCCTCTGGCATGGACCGGAGTCCGTGAGGACGCTGCCGCTGGCGTGAATTAGCGAGGTGGCCGTGTCGGATAGGGTGACTCTGTCTGCCGCGGAAGTCGTGCGTGTGAACGGTAAAATTACGGCGATTGGGCTACTTCAAAACGTTCAGACACAGCTCGAGGCTCGGCGGGCCGCTACCAGATACCTGTATTTGTCTTTGGCCGTGCGAGCTCGCAACGAGCGGGTCTTGCAGCCCGTTTCCGGCGCATTTTCTGTGGCCCGTATGAACAAAATCATGGTGAGTGTAACATAACGGGATGGCTGGGGGCATACCTGCCTAGCCGTTCAGGGTTGAGTGGACAGCTTCGCGTGCATGCAGACAGTACACGAGGACTTGCTCGATGTGGTAAGATGGTACGCACATAACGATAAAATGCGACTGGTGTGTGGGCCATGCCATCTGTGATTCCTTCGTCGTTAGCTCATTCTCATCTCCTTGACTTCTCACAAGCCCTACCTCACGATGGCTCCCATCCGTAATCACACGACACCCCCCGCAGACGCAAGCAGTAAGCCGGAACCTAACACAGCCGGCGTCGTCGTATACTCGGCCCGGCTGATGGAGATGCGAGGGCGGTTGAGAGGGCTGATGGGCGGAGACCTGAGTACGTACCGCCATTATTTCTTCCGCTCTGTTTGCTGACCGTGCTGATAGAGAGTCGGGCCGGCCCCCGCATCAAGATGAAGTGGACGGCGGTCGAGTACGCCAACGGCGTCGTCGTCAAGGGCGGCCACAGACTCGTGGGGTGGCCGAACCGAGCGAACGAGGAACCCCACGATCCGAACGGCCCGCCGCTCGACCCGCTCGACACGATCCCATTCGGGAACCTGAGCGACATCCCGGGCGGCCAGGCGGTGATCCAGCGGCTTCTCGACTTGTGGACGAGCGGCAAGATGTACTTCGAGCGTGCCGATGAAGCGTTCATCGACCTCGCGAAGCGCAACCCAAAGGCGGTCATGCCCGGGAAGCCTCCTGTACGTCCGGCGCCGAAGTGTTGGGGCCGGCAGAGCAGGGACGACATCGGGAAGGCGCGAGGGCGGCCAGCGTCAGGAATCAACCCGAAGACGGGGCGGCCGTACCGGAGGCGCAAGGACGGGCCCAAGACGCCGAAGATGATTCTGGACTCGGACATCGACTTGGCGGACGAGGTGGAGAGCGACATCGGCAGCGAGTAGGGTTCTCGGGCGGGGCAGAGAGCGGTCGACTAGCGGGGCGGTGTCCGGGATTCCTAGCTAATTGCGAGTCTAATTTAGACGCATGTCGTAATTTCCACTTTCGTTTGGTACGGCAGACAGGGCTTGATGAGCGAGAACTCGGTGCTGCGGTCGCCGCTGTTGTGGCAGGGAGCAAGAAGCACAAGCGCGCAGGGACGAACGACAGGAACTGCCGTGTATGGCAATTGTTCCGAGCGCCTGAGAGATTGTGGCACTGCGTGCGGGCGTCCGCTCCGATTCCCTCGCTTGTCTCTTTCCCTCACACTGCTCGCGCCCGCGCCCGACGATTCCGTACGCATCAATCGAGCGCTGTGGTCCGTACAATATTATACGATTATCTCGTGGATTGCATCCTCAGAGCGCGCGAGATGAAGGGAGCGCGGCATCGGCTTTTCGGGTCTGGATGCTCCGTGACCGGCGGGAAGGTGCGCGGGTTACGTTCGTGCGGCCGCCGTCTGCGCGCAGCCTGCGCGGAGCTCGGTAAGTGCAAATTTACGCGACAGCACTGTTGGGGCCTCTATCTGACATGTTTCAAATATTTT